GCGATCCACCAAGCGTTGACGATGGCGCCCGACGAGCGTGAGGAGGCGCACCGCAAGCTGTTCCGCTACGTGTCGCAGTACACTGCGTCGCACTGGGTAGGCCCTCAATTTCACTCTTCCCACCCGACTTGCAAGCACCCACTGACCCTCTCTTGGACGCAACAGGGAACCGAATTTGTTGCCGAGTTGTGCATCGCCTCTTGTCTCTTTTCGAGGAGTTCTCTCAAGAGACTGACTCTCTCTCTCTCTCGTGCAGGCAACGGGACCGCGCCGAGCGTCGTGCGATCGCCGAGGCTTCGGACAAGGAGAACGAGGACAAGGCCGGGTCGGACAAGGTCACCAAGGCGGCGTCCGAGCGGGACCAGCGCGCCAAGCAGGAGCAGCTGCGGCGTCAGGGCCTCCAGCTGACGGGCAAGGCTTGACGGGGCTTGACGCGTGGTGGCTGTAGATAGATTCTTTCACCCCCCTGACGAACGACGAGGCTCGCGAGTCTCCTTGTACAGGAGCGAGGGTGGGGCCAACCCTTCAAGTGTGAGCCCCAGCGAGTGCCACCCACCGACCGACGAGACGAGAAAGGGTCCCCCCGCTCCTCTTTTTCCCCAGCACTTGTCAGAGCTGTGAATCTGGCCTCTGCTGCCTCGATAGCTGCGTCTCGGGAACACTCCGTCGGACCGTGCGCGCCGGATCGTGCGCCATGCGCGCGCATTGTTCCGCTCTGCTGAAAGAGTTGCATGTCGTGGCTTACTGTCATTGAACTCGTGTCTGTAATGCTTAGCCGAGTTTTCAATGCTGAGCAGGCGAGACTACGGCAAGAAAGACCGAGCGGCGGGCAGGTAACCGAGAGCAACAGCCTTACTTACGAGCCTTGCTCCATTCCAGTCTTGAGGAGGGGTGCTCCTGTGTCCTACTACATGTGCAAATGGCATGGTCAAAGCGGCAGGCCATGAGCAAGCCCAAAGGAGGAGTGCGCAGCGATGCCTCAACGGGGCCTTCTCAAGTTGAAGCCGCCTCTTGCCAAGGAAACCTGTTCAGGAGGAACACATCCCTCGCCCCCTGAACTTGGTCGGTTACTGTGCTTCTCGCGAAGACTGGCGAGGCCAGCCAGAGGCTTGCCGCAAGCTGAGCGCATTTCGAGGGAGAGAGCCAGGCAGACGCCAGCGGTCAGCGGAACAAGGTCGCTCCCACAGTAACTAGGTCGCTTTGCATGCGCGAGAGAATGAGCTCGACGAGGCAGCACACCGTGACAGCCATCCTCCGAGCGAACCAGCGCACGGCAGACCAGCTGATCCCCGGCTCTCCGTGCGCGCAACCTGTATGCACAGCTGACCTCGCTCGTCTGCACTGCGGGGATCTAGCTCATCGGTAGAGCGCTCGCTTAGCACCACCGTGTGCGAGAGGCGCAGGGTTCGACTCCCTGGTTCTCCAACCACTTTCTTTTGGCTCCAGCTCCGTGCTTTTGCCTTATGTCCGTGAGGTCGGTGCCTGGCGGGTGGACAGTAGTGAAGAGCCTGACTAAACGCCGCTCATGAGTGGGGTTTGACCTGCGCGCCTGCCCCGGCCCCGAGAAGCTGGTGACAGGGCAGGACGCTTCACGAGGACCAGGTTATATTGACAAAGCGCCACGATGAGCTACTTAGTAAAAGCAAGTAACCCAGTGGCAAACACACGCGCTGCGCAATCGATGCGCGCCGTTTTTGCTGCGGGGTCTCGCGGTGGTGACCGAGTGGTTAAGGTGACCGATTTAAGCCAATACAAACGCACTTGTAGTGAGCGCCCGGTTCTCGAAAGAGGTCGCGAGTTCGACTCTCGCCCGCCGCATATCCTTTTGCGACCTACCGAGGCTGCCACACTGGCAGGGGAGCCAGGCCCGACCTTGCTGGCACCTGCACGGCCGCGCGCTCTCGCTATGTATGTGGTCGGGGCAAGCGACAAGGCGACAGAGGCTCCCCTGGGCGCGCTGATGCGCACAAGCTGGAGGCCGAAGCGGCGCCTCCCCTCAAGCTGTGTGCAAGCCCCGCCTCTTTACCGACCTCGCGGCCAAGGCCTGCGGACACCGCCCCTTGTCCTCCTCACAACACCTCACCCTGAGACCACCATGCAGGCCCTCAAGCTTGCTCGCAAGTACCCCAACTTCTCGCAGGAGCAGATGATGCAGCTCGTCGAGCAGTTCAAGTGAGCCCCGCCTCCCCTCCCCTCCTCCCCACCTCCTCCCGATCTCGCTGGCCAGGCCGCGGGAGCGACGCGCGACGGTCTCAAAGCGATTGGCGTACACCTCCGGGGCGCTTTATCCCGACGAGCACCGGCCGCGTGCGGCGCTTGTCCGCTGCACCGCCCTCCGCGTCATGCCGAGTGAAGGGGACAAGGTGCATCGAGGACTGCCCACTGGGTGGAGCGTCGACCGGTCTGTGATCGTGCATGCTATGCGCAAAGGACCGTCCAGAGGCGGACGCGCGCTCAGGGCGCCGCGTTGGGGGCCGCGCGCGGGTAACGAGGCGGTGCTCTCCGCTCCTCCCGCCCCGACACCTTGGCACCTCGCGGCGCAGGACAAACGCGCGATGACCACGGCAGCTGACACTCCACGCCTACGCTCACAGCCAGATCGACCTCGACTCGACTGGCCGCCTCCCTAAATCGACCGTCCTCACCGCCCTCTCGACCAACGCCTCGCCCTCCGCCCCCGCAGGCAAGTACACCTACGACCAGGTCCGCGAGACGCTCAAGACCGTCTCGATCGACTCGTCAGGCCAAGTCGAGCTCGACGACTTTGTCGACCTCGTCGACAAGCTGCGCTCCGGCGCGGGAGCAACAGCTGGGCAGGTGCACCGCGGCGGCGCCCTCAGCGGACTCATGGGCGCGTCCGCGGGCGGAGCAGGTGGCGCTGCTGCATCGTCCGCCGGAGGGGGCTCGGGAGGAGGAAAGGTGCTCGTCAAGGGGAGCAACACCAACATCACCCACTCGATCAACGAGGACGAACGCACCGAGTTCACGCGGCACATCAACCAGGTGCGCGTCTTCAGTCGTAGCGCGCGTCAGTCATTCGCTCACCCAGTCTCGCACACACATAGGTCCTCGCCGGAGACGCCGACATCGGCGACCGCTTGCCCATCCCGACCGACACGTTCCAGATCTTTGACGAGTGCAGGGGTGCGTCGGTGTTCTTCTCTTGAGCCCGTGTGAACGGCCATCACTGACTCACTCGCCCGCCGCACTCGCAGACGGCCTCCTCCTCGCCAAGCTCATCAACGATTCGGTGCCCGACACGATCGACGAGCGCGTCCTCAACAAGGCGTCCAAGGCCAAGGCGCCGTCGGCCATGCCGTCGGCCAAGTCCAAGGCGACGCTCAACAACTTCCAGATGACGGAGAACAACAACCTCGTCATCACTTCAGCCAAGTCGCTCGGCCTGTCGGTCGTCAACATTGGCGCGACCGACCTCAATGAAGGGCGCGAGCACCTCATCCTCGGCCTCATCTGGCAGATCATCCGCCGTGGTCTCCTTGCCAAGATCGACATTAAGCTCCACCCGGAGCTGTACCGCCTCCTTGAGGATGACGAGACGCTCGAGCAGTTCCTCCGCCTCCCGCCGGACCAAATCCTCCTCCGCTGGTTCAACTATCACCTCAAAGCCGCAAACTGGCCCAAGCGGTGCGTCAAATCCCGGTCAGAGCCCGCTCGAACGACCCCTCGCTGACCCGGCCTCTTTCGCGACACGCAGCGTGTCGAACTTCAGCAAGGACGTCGCCGACAGCGAGAACTACACGGTCCTGCTCAACCAGCTCAAGCCCGACCAGTGCTCGCGTGCGCCCCTGCAGGAGCACGATCTCCATGCACGGGCGGAGAAGGTGCGCTTCCCGTCTCCTCTCTTTCTCCCTGTCGTCTTCCCGGGCCGAACAAGCGGCTGACGTTGCTGTGAGCTGCCCGCAGGTGTTGCAAAACGCGGACGCCATCGGCTGCCGCAAGTACCTGACGCCGTCGTCGCTCGTCGCCGGCAACGCAAAGCTCAACCTCGCCTTTGTCGCCAACCTGTTCAACACGTGGCCTGGCCTCGAGCCGCTCGAGGAGAACGAGCGTCCGGTCATCGAGGACTTTGACGCCGAGGGTGAGCGCGAGGCGCGTGTCTTCACGCTGTGGCTCAACTCGCTCGACGTCGACCCGGGCGTGTACGACCTGTACGAGGACCTCAAGGTGCGTCCAATTGCGAGGCTACCCTTACAGACGATCGAGCCCAAACTGACATCGATGGCTCGCGCACGCACACAGGACGGCCTCGTGCTCCTGCAAGCCTTTGACAAGGTCATCCCCGGCTCGGTCACCTGGCGGCGCGTGGCCAAGTCGCCGCTGCCCTTGTCGCGGTTCAAGGCGGTCGAGAACACCAACTACGTGCTCGACCTTGCTCGGCAGAGTAACATGCACATTGTCGGCATCCAGGGAGCCGACCTCGTCGACGGGCAGCGCACCCTCACGCTCGGCCTCGTGTGGCAGATGATGCGTCGCAACATCCTCAGCACCATGGCGAGCCTGAGCAAGGGCGGCCGCGACGTGTCGGACAGCGACATTGTCAAGTGGGCCAACGACCAGGTGCAGAAGGGGGGCAAGCGCTCGTCGATGCGCAGCTTCAAGGACCCGAGTCTCAAGGACGCAAAGTTCTTCCTCGACCTGCTCGACTCGCTCAAGCCGGGCTACGTCGACTACTCGCTCGTGTACGAGGGCCGCAACGACGAGGAGTGCAAGGCCAACGGTGCGTGCCCCTCCTCCCGTGTCTCGCTCGTCACCTCCTGGCTCTGCTTCTCCACTCGTGACCGAGGGAAAGAGGGATGCAGCAGTGTACTGTGCGACTGACACTCGCCGGTGCCTGCTCCTACAGCCAAGCTCGCCATCTCGATCGCGCGCAAGCTCGGGTGCGTCTCCTTCACTCAAGGCCTCGGCGCGCGCGAGACACGTCGCGGTGCGCACAAGGCTCGAGCTGACTCCTCTCCACGCATTCTACAGCTCGCTCATCTTCATCGTGCCCGAGGACATTGTCGACGTCCGCCCTCGCCTCGTCCTCACCTTCTGCGCCGCCCTCATGGCGCTCCAGTCGGGCGGGATGCACTGAACGCGCAAGCTCGAAACGTCGACGTAGCAGTGCTCGAGCTGTCCTCTCCCCCATGTTGTGCAAAAGGAATCGGTTCAGTCGTCGGATCAAGAGACGAGGCTGCCCAGGACGCTGAGGACCCGTGTGACCTTCCCAAGCCGCACGACGGGCCCGCTCGCTCGCTTCGTAGCCTCTCGTCGACGCTAGGTGTGTGCAAGAATGATCAGGCGAGGCTGTCGAGCCGGCAAGCCTGCAGGACGAGCCGAGAAGAGATAACGAGGCGCGCACGTTCGTCCCGTCGCGAACGGTGCCCAGCCTGGGCACGATCGCTCAGCGCTCGACGTCGCGGGAGGGGGGCCGGCTGGCTCTCCTTTGCTTCCTGCTTGCCACTTGGTGCTTGCTGAAGCTCCTCTCTACGCCGTCGAACTCGTAGCGACACCACTCCACCTTGATTCGACAACTCGACCTTCCGCAGCCTGAGCGCAACGTGCGCTGCTCCGCTTTCCGCCTCGGCGTCCCTTGCCGCGAGGCCGACCTCGGTTGAGGTCAACCACTCGTTCTCGGTGGTCTATTGACAGCAACACGGGGCCTCGTGCAGAGAGGTGACTGGTGTCATGCCGCGAGCAGCAGCCTGAACGTGCGGCGTGAGTGTGGGCGTGCTGTTGGCTCGTCGGTTGGTTGGCTGCCCCGCTGACATTTCTCCTGCTCCAAAAGTGTCGAGCCCGTCTTTCCGTCTTCCCGTTCGACACCGTGTGGAAAGTCAGCCACTGCTCGACGAACGTGCACCCCGCCGCGCGTCGCCATTGGCTGTCGCTCCGCTCTTTCTCCACATTTGGCCCAGACTGCCGTCCCTCGCGAGGAAATCGCTGCTCGCCCACTCTGCTCGCTCTCTCCCGTTCTTCTGCTTCCTGCTCTGTGCTTTCCACCAGCTTGCGTCCAGCACAGTCGACTGCAGGCGCGACCAGCTCCACCGGACGCCTCTTGACAGCGCCGCCGCCCCCCTCCCCCGCCCTTTGCGTTACCCCGCGCCCAAGTCGCCAGCTCGACCCCGCTTTCTCAACCTTTTTTCGACCCGCTCGCCTCGGCAACCGCGCCACACTCCCTCCCTGCCTTCCGTCCACTCGCCCATCATGAGCGTGGTCCCCGAAGACGGCATCACTGAGCACGAGAAGCAGCCGCTTCCCACCTCGAGCGGGTTCGACTCGCCCAGCTCTGGCCTCTCGACGTCGGCGAGCTCGACCAACGCGCACCTCGAGCACCTCCTCAAGGACGCCCTGTTCCCGGATGACTCGTACACGGCCGACGGCGTCTACTGGGCCGACCTGCCGCGCAAGGAGCGCCTCGCCTTCATCAACCACCAGCAGAACGCAGAGGCCAAGCGCGAGTTCCGCTGGGTGCTCGACATGTTCAAGCAGGACCCGGCCGAACCGTTGCGTCGGTACTTCCGCAAGTATGTCATGACGGGCATGGGCCTCTTTGTCGAGGTGCGCGCGTTTCCCCTTTGCGAGGCGGCCCGGGCGACGCGACGGGGGAGAGCTGACCTCTCTCTGTCTCGCGCGCTCAGGGCTACGTCCTCTTCTCGATCGGTAACCTCACTGCGCTGTTCAAGAGTGCCTGGCCGACGTGCTGGGGCAGCTACACCGACTGCAACGAAAGTGCGTCACCCGCCCTCATCTCGTCGACCCGCTGCCCGCCGAGCTGACCCCCCTCCTCCGCAGACTGGGTGGACGCCGTCACGTACCTC